CACACACACACTCACTCACACACTCACACACACACACACACACACACGCACGCACTTTACTTTATTTTGTCAGTTTGAATTTGTTTGTTCACTAAATGCCTCATTCAGCCAGCTAATTTTCATTTAGTTACACAATAAATTAATTAATTGACTTGATAGCCATATATAGTCTTATATACACTATATACATAGACATACTTATATACACTATATACATATATATATACATAGACACTTAATCTGTTAATCTGAACTATGCAGTCTTTGTTTGTAAAGGAACAATCATCCAATAAAGCCAATATATCCAAGATATTGTTAACTGTACAAACACAATCAAGAAATGTACAAACATCACAACACAACAAATAACCAACAATAATGACAAAACAAACGCATCATTTATTCATGTTGCAATGCATGCTGGGAAATCACAAACCCTTGACATTTCAGAAATATTACATTCTTTTTTCAGACTGTGTTTGACTCGTTGGGACAGCGTTTGGAAGAATATGAGAAAATTGCATTTCTTAGTATTTGATATTTAAAGGTTTGTAAACTGGAAAATACATAGCCATACGATGCGCTTCTGTAACAGATGAAAATGTGCAGAACATCTGACAGAAATACACTAGAAATAATCTTATATTAATATATGGTGTGAAAACATAACATAAAAACACAATATGGTCAAAATTAGCTGCAAAATTATTTATGGCACAAGACTGAACTTGATGAAGCCACGTTCATCATCATCATCGCTGCAAGTTTTTCTGATGTAGTTTTGATCTCGTGCAGACGTGGCTCATTACGATGGATGTTTAATACAGTCAATGCTTTTCTGGTCTGGACTCTGATGAGAACAAACATGCACTCAAACAGACGAGAGTAAAGTGCTGCTGTGCACAGACGTCATCTCAACACCATCTCTCCACTCTCGCGGAGATGGATTTTTTACGAGAGAGCCCATTAATTATTGAAACGCTTCCCAGGCATTGTGCGTTTTACTCTCGGAATTCACGTTAAGTGCCGTTTGGAGTTTTTCTGCACCAGTTCAGCACAGGCCCGCAAAACATCCTCGGCCAGGAGTCAGTATTTACTCTGAAAAATCGATTATTCCAATCCAGGGCTGCGTGCGATCCGATATCAATCGCTCCTCGTTACGTGCACGGTCTGCTTTTCACACTCGGACAATAACAGCAGAACAGATGAGCGCCAGAGCTAATACCGAGTGAAACGGAGTCTCAGTAATCTCCTCTAGCGGGTTACCGGTCCGTCCGGCGTGCTTGCGCTAAAGCTGCGTCTGATTGCAGCGATTCGCTCAGGTCACAACCCGCTTACGTGCCGCCAGATGTTGAGTCGCTCCACAAACACAGTTCAACACGGGATCATCAAACAGCAGCTAAAGACCCGCACGAGCATATGCTAGCAGAACCAGCTGCGCTTTAACTGTGCAACGCGCCATTAGTTCCAAACTGAACGTTGTCGGGTGGGGTGCCGCTAAACCCATGCTAATGTGCAGCTAACATGCAGATGGCATCCGCGCTGTCAGGTCATCAAAGGTAAAGTGCAAGACAAACACGCTTCTCAAAAATTAGTTTATTTCCTTCGCTCGAGGAAACGACTGAGGAGGAGTTGGGCTTTGCTGTCAGGCCTGTCAGAGTTCAATCAAGACACCTTCACAGATCCACGACACGCTCAAATCACGCTCGAGAAGAGACGACACGTCCAAAAATAGAGGAACTGAAGGCATGTGATTATCCAGCACACACACACACACACACACACACAGATGACAGATACTCACCACACTCGTTTCTTTTTTTTCTAGATGTGTTTGAGCTTCATGTCCTGGTTTTCATAATCCTCAGCGGTCTGATCCGGTATTCCTACAGTCAGACACAACATGGCAGATTTAAATGAACAAATATTATATAACATACAGGAAAGATTGTCTAATAAAGCGGTGAGCCGGGAGAGGCCGAGCCATTCGCTGATTTTAGCAAGAGAAAGAGTCGTTCTCAGATGCAGACTCTGCTGTCTGATTTCTGAAGAGTCGTTTCTGAAAATGCTATCTGATTTTCACAAACACGATCTGATCTTCACAAGCACGATCTGATCTTCACAAGCACGATCTGATTTTCACAAGCACGATCTGATTTTCACAAACACGATCTGATTTTCACAAACACGATCTGATTTTCACAAGCACGATCTGATTTTCACAAGCACGATCTGATTTTTCACAAACACGATCTGATTTTTCACAAACACGATCTGCTTTTCACAAGCACGATCTGCTTTTCACAAACACGATCTGATCTTCACAAGCACGATCTGATTTTTACAAACACGATCTGATCTTCACAAGCACGATCTGATTTTTACAAACACGATCTGATCTTCACAAGCACGATCTGATTTTTACAAACACGATCTGATCTTCACAAGCACGATCTGATTTTTACAAACACGATCTGATCTTCACAAGCACGATCTGATTTTTACAAACACGATCTGATCTTCACAAGCACGATCTGATTTTTACAAACACGATCTGATCTTCACAAGCACGATCTGATTTTTACAAACACGATCTGATCTTCACAAGCACGATCTGATTTTTACAAACACGATCTGATCTTCACAAGCACGATCTGATTTTTACAAACACGATCTGATCTTCACAAGCACGATCTGATTTTTACAAACACGATCTGATCTTCACAAGCACGATCTGATTTTTACAAACACGATCTGATCTTCACAAGCACGATCTGATCTTCACAAACACGATCTGATCTGATTTTCACAAACACGATCTGATCTTCACAAGCACGATCTGATCTTCACAAACACGATCTGATCTGATTTTCACAAACACGATCTGATCTTCACAAGCACGATCTGATCTTCACAAACACGATCTGATCTGATTAAGCACGATCTGATTTTCACAAACACGATCTGATTTTCACAAGCACGATCTGATTTTCACAAGCACGATCTGATTTTCACAAGCACGATCTGATTTTCACAAGCACGATCTGATTTTCACAAGCACGATCTGATTTTCACAAGCACGATCTGATTTTCACAAGCACGATCTGATTTTCACAAGCACGATCTGATTTTCACAAGCACGATCTGATTTTCACAAGCACGATCTGATTTTCACAAGCACGATCTGATTTTCACAAGCACGATCTGATTTTCACAAGCACGATCTGATTTTCACAAGCACGATCTGATTTTCACAAGCACGATCTGATTTTCACAAGCACGATCTGATTTTCACAAGCACGATCTGATTTTCACAAACACGATCTGATTTTCACAAGCACGATCTGATTTTCACAAACACGATCTGATTTTCACAAGCACGATCTGATTTTCACAAACACGATCTGCTTTTCACAAGCACGATCTGCTTTTCACAAGCACGATCTGATTTTTACAAACACGATCTGATCTTCACAAACACGATCTGATTTTCATAAGCACGATCTGATTTTTCACAAACACTATCTGATTTTTCACAAACATGATCTGATTAGCACGATCTGATTCAGATCGTGATTCAAGACTGTTCAGTCTTTCAGAATCTGAACTCTCTCCATAATTTCCATAATTCATTCTGTTATTTTCCTGTTTATTACTGTGAAGCTAATTTGACACAATCTGTATTATATAAAGCACAATAAATATAAATATGGCTTGACTTGAACATGTGACTGTATATTATTACTGTTCAACAGGATATTCAATGAGACAAAAAGCTAGAGACTAGTTGAATTTGTTAAAACAGTGTCTAAACAGCTGTTTAACATATTAGTTAACATTAACCCATGCGTGTGCTGCCAAAGGAAAGCTAAGCAGAGGCTGATTTGAGTGATTACATTTAGAAGAAATATTATGAGACAAACATTGTATATTTTTCCAGAATAACCTGCAGTGATGAAGCAATTAGAGTAAAACCAGAAACATGAATTAAAGTCATGCAGCGCTGTCTGTCTGTCGATCAGAGACTAACAGCAGCATCTGAGCCGTCTGACTGCAGCCTCTCTCTCTGTATCTGAAGCTGTTATTTATCTTTGGTGCATCGAGGCGTATCTTGTCTTACTGTTGCCTAGTCAACCACCTCTGCCCATATCTCTCTCTCTCTCTCACACTCTCTCTGTCCCTCTGTCTCTCTCACTCATCACTGCTGGCCGTGTTTGCGGATCCACGGATAACCAGTGGCAGCTGGGAATATGGTTTCCATGGCAACCATCCAAACCAGCCAGCAGAGTGATTGATGTCATGTGACCCTGAGGTCAAACGAATGCTCACTGATGCCATTCATTACCTGAAGCATTACAATTTAAAATGCAACTACATGCAAAAAATCAAAAGAAAAAATAGAAATTGTTTTGAAATTTGGATAAAGAAAATTAAGCTTGTTTTTAGGAAATATCTTTATAATGACATTGATTTCTTGACAATGAAACACTTGACAATCAAATTCTTATTACTTTAGTTTTTAAAAATGATGTGATAAATTATGTTGAAATTATATATGTTTAAGTATGATGCTGATTAATAACGACAATCATTGGATTGCGGTAATGGGAATCACTATTGAGAATAATGAGAACAACAACAACAACAACAAAAAACAATCAAACCAAAGAGTATATAAAAACACGATCTGATTTTCATAAGCACGATCTGATTTTTCACAAACACTATCTGATTTTTCACAAACATGATCTGATTAGCACGATCTGATTCAGATCGTGATTCAAGACTGTTCAGTCTTTCAGAATCTGAACTCTCTCCATAATTTCCATAATTCATTCTGTTATTTTCCTGTTTATTACTGTGAAGCTAATTTGACACAATCTGTATTATATAAAGCACAATAAATATAAATATGGCTTGACTTGAACATGTGACTGTATATTATTACTGTTCAACAGGATATTCAATGAGACAAAAAGCTAGAGACTAGTTGAATTTGTTAAAACAGTGTCTAAACAGCTGTTTAACATATTAGTTAACATTAACCCATGCGTGTGCTGCCAAAGGAAAGCTAAGCAGAGGCTGATTTGAGTGATTACATTTAGAAGAAATATTATGAGACAAACATTGTATATTTTTCCAGAATAACCTGCAGTGATGAAGCAATTAGAGTAAAACCAGAAACATGAATTAAAGTCATGCAGCGCTGTCTGTCTGTCGATCAGAGACTAACAGCAGCATCTGAGCCGTCTGACTGCAGCCTCTCTCTCTGTATCTGAAGCTGTTATTTATCTTTGGTGCATCGAGGCGTATCTTGTCTTACTGTTGCCTAGTCAACCACCTCTGCCCATATCTCTCTCTCTCTCTCACACTCTCTCTGTCCCTCTGTCTCTCTCACTCATCACTGCTGGCCGTGTTTGCGGATCCACGGATAACCAGTGGCAGCTGGGAATATGGTTTCCATGGCAACCATCCAAACCAGCCAGCAGAGTGATTGATGTCATGTGACCCTGAGGTCAAACGAATGCTCACTGATGCCATTCATTACCTGAAGCATTACAATTTAAAATGCAACTACATGCAAAAAATCAAAAGAAAAAATAGAAATTGTTTTGAAATTTGGATAAAGAAAATTAAGCTTGTTTTTAGGAAATATCTTTATAATGACATTGATTTCTTGACAATGAAACACTTGACAATCAAATTCTTATTACTTTAGTTTTTAAAAATGATGTGATAAATTATGTTGAAATTATATATGTTTAAGTATGATGCTGATTAATAACGACAATCATTGGATTGCGGTAATGGGAATCACTATTGAGAATAATGAGAACAACAACAACAACAACAAAAAACAATCAAACCAAAGAGTATATAAAAAAGTCAAATGTCCAGAAGCATTGCTGCAGGTCAGCGCTGAGGCTTAACCAGATAACCAGGTAAAGAGATCTGTGTAACATAAGTTAAAGGTGTGGTAAGTGATTTCTGGTAGCCAATGTTTACATGTCAAATCACCAAAACAAACACGCCCCTACCCCAACAGGGTCTCGCCCCTATTTTGATAGCTCCGCCCCACACATACGTACGCAACCCAGGCAACGCTTAGTTCGACGTGTTTCTTCTGCTGAGTGCTGGTTTGATAATCACCAGTTCGTATAAACCATTAGACTAGCCAGCTCTGAACGCGTGATGGTTTGATGACTCGACACTGTTTCAATGGGAAGTTGGCTGAGCTGACAGGAGTTGTTGAGTCGGTTAGGGTTAGTCTGTGCTGATTGGCTGTCTTACAGCGCGGGAACGAGCCTCCAGCTGTCGCGGGTCAGGAGCAGGACATCTGCGGAGCGACAGGCCGTGCGGGTCAACAGACAGACAAATGACGGGCGTTCGGTTAGTGCAGGCCGCAAGCCGCTTACGGAGGGTGACAGCAGCAGATTGCGTGGCTGATCGATGTTAAATGAAGCTTGCGCCAGTGCAGATGTGTGTGAAAATGACACTAATGCTTAACAGCTGAAACACTCCAGTTCCTCTACAAACAAGCTGCAGCCACGGCCCCGAAGTCTATCGCGAGCTGCTTACGCCGGATTCAAAGACTATAGCAGCGCACACATTCACTGGGAATCCAAGCCAAAGCAGTATTAAAACATTTAAAGAGCATATAGAGTGGAAATATGAGTTCAGGTTCCAATGTAGTCTTTAATTGTAAATGCACACGTAAATGTCAAAATCAATAGAAACCAAATTTGCATTTGACTGGATTCACAATTTGGTTCAAACACACTAGGCTTCATCAAACACACGTTTTAAGTGTCTGCGTCTCAATATATGAGCACATGAACTTCATCTCCAGAGCTGCTCTGAGAGTCGCTTCAGCAGCTTTACAGCG